CAGTGACTGTATGGAGTTTCACTATGTCCACTGTCTGGGTTACAGTGACTGTGTGGAGTTTCACTGTGTTCACTGTCTGGGTTACAGTGACTGTGTGGAGTTTCACTGTGTCCACTGTCTGGGGTACAGTGACTGTGGGGAGTTTCAGTGTGTCCACTGTCTCTGGGTTACAGTGACTGTATGGAGTTTCACTATGTCCACTGTCTGGGTTACAGTGACTGTATGGAAGACACAGAGGCTGAAGAAGTCAACATCCTTTCTCCACATTGTTCTATACTACAGACGCGAGCTAGTGACAAACTCGCCTGCTAGCCTGCCTTTCCAAATGCCCTGTGTAAGGCAAGTCTTCTGTAGTGTGACAGCGGCTTGTCCTCTTCTTTCTTCCTGGGACCATACACTTCCTTCTGGGTGGAAATCAGTACCAAGCAGGTGTCTAGAACCTGCTGATAAATCCTAACTCAAAAAGTATCCACAAGTGAACAGGTTTGCTAGAGATTTATTTATTTATTTTTGAATTGGATTTGGGGTTTTTGTTTTGGTTTTTTGAGACAGGATTTCTCTGTGTAGTCCTGGGTATCCTGGAACACACTCAGTAGACCAGGTTGGCCTTGAACTCAGAATTATGCCTGCCTCTGCCTCCTGAGTGCTGGGGTTAAAGGTGTGCACCACCACTGCCTGGCTTAGAGATTTATTTTAACATGTCCCTATAGCTATCAAATATTCTAACTGTAGATGTGATTAAGGAAGCACAAACTGAAGAAAGGGAGAATACTCCATCAGAGACATTTTGCTTAAGACAGCCATTCCCTGCTCATGCCTGGCTAAAGGTATAGACAGGAGAGCTAAAGGTATAGACAAGAGAGCTAGACCCCGGACCAAGAGGCGCTGCCTGCGCTTCCTTGGCAGTGTCACTGTGCTACAGAAACCGCTCTCACTGAGTAATTCTTGTGAAAAAGCAGGCTCCTGTAGTGTCCTCATGTAGTGTTTATTAGAAAAGCAATATGCTCTCGTTATGGAAAATGCATAAGGATACAAAGAAGAAATCTTTTATCCCTTCCAAGGGCACCACCATCTTTTTAGCACCTCCCAGCTTCTAATAATAATCAGAATGGGTTAACTGGTGGTGACTCACACCAGGCAGGAACCAGGCTATAAACTAAACACAGAGTATCATGTTCCATTCCCTAAAAACTCTCAGAGGCCCAGTCTAATTTTATGCCCATTTTTCAATTGAGACCATGGAGGTTCTGTCAGACTGAACACCTAGTGCAGACACAGGGCTAGTGGCAGACTGAATGCCTAGTCCAGAGACGCAAGGCTAGTGACAGATCTGAGACTCCAACATCCACTTGGAGAAGCAACAGCTCTTCAAACTCCCTCTCCTCCACATGAGGAAGCAGGAAGGTTGAGTCAGGGGAAGA